TCAGCAGTGACATGGGATTATGCTACATACTGGCTAAAGCCTAGATCAAGGAAGCAGATGCGACATGCCAAAGTGTTTCAAATGTATTTATTTTCAATAAGTATAAAAATATTGCAATGTAATTTTTCTGGATGACTTTAATAAACAACTCTTTGCACCAACTCTGTGAGTGAAATTGGCCCTAAAGACTAAGCAGTTGTTGTAATCCATTCCTTATTAAGTGTAGAAAGAAACGGGACTCAGGTAGTAGTCTTTGTAATTTGGATAATTACAAGAAACTCTTCGTAAATTTTTGTGAAAGAAAATGATCATTCAATAATCAAATACTAGCTTCAGGTTCTGACCAGTTCTGGAGAACTGGTAACAGAAATTTTGAGTAGTTCAGAGAACCAGCCAATCCCACCTCTGACTGGCCCTTCCCCTGTCTATTCTCTGCCTCCCGAGTCCCAGCTGATTGGCTGGGTCTTCTTTTGTTGCCCTGTACAGGAGAATGGAGCTGAAAAGCAGGTTAGTGGGGAAGGAATGAGATTTTGCAGTAACCTTTCCTTGCCATGGCCACCAAGCAATGCCATGCCCACCAAGCCACACCCACAGAACCGGTAGTAAAAAAATTTGAATCCCACCACTGGTGTTGCCCCTTCTATTTCATTGAGTGGAATTTCATTTGATCTTTGAAGTTCAGTCATAACTGGGAACCATCTAGAAATACTCAGCTGTTGAATAAGCTGGATAACAACAACAACAACAACAATTACCTTAACAGTTGTTCGGTCCTTGGTTAGGACTTGAAATGTTAAATTTTTACCAGCGCCATACTGTAAATTGAATTGATGACGACAACAACAACAACAACAATAGTAATAATAAAATAAAACACAACCAGGAACTGCCTATATACACAAATGCTATTTTAATAGCTCTTAGGCCCTTGGGTGGGACCTGAACTGTTAAGTTTTTATCAATTCCAGATTGTTAATCAAATTGAAGATTAACAACATTAACAACAACAATAATAATTGAAGGCTTCATTTTGACTGCCCAAGAACAAGATCTGTAGGCCAATTCCATGAAAACAAAAAATTAACATGCAAGTAACAACAGCAAGTGCCGCTTATGCAGCAAGAACGATTAACTGGATCATCTTATCAGTGGCTGTAGCGAAATCTCATAAACTGATTATTTACAATGTCATGATCAAGTTGCCAAAATCATACATTGGAAGCTTTGCCAGAAGTTTGGGTTCAAATGCAGCAAATATTACTGGGAACAGATCCTGTGGGACTTTGAAATCCAAACATATAGACATCTGGCCCACAACACACCTGACATCACTATTGTAAAAAAGAAAAAAAGTCTGGTTCATTGATATTGTAATACCTGGTGGTACACAAATTGAGGAGAAACAGCTAGAAAAAAAGAACAAAACATTGTGATTTACAAATGGAAGTTGAGCGATTATTGAGGAAGAAATTAATGGTTGTACCAATAGTAATAGGAACCCTTGGAGTAATATCTAAAGAGCTGCCTAGATATATGGAAATTTTGATCTTATTAGACCTCAATATCCCGACTACAGAAAAACACCCTACTTAGAATTGCCTAAATCAGATGCTACTTTAACAGTTCTTAGGTTCTTGGTTAGGTCTTGAATTGTTAAGTTTTAATCGGTCCCACTATGAATAGAATTATTATTATTGTTATTATTATTTATTTATTTTGATCTTTAGTTGATAGTTTCATTTTTAATGAATAAAAGTTTATAATAATAACAATAATAATAACAACAATAATAATACCATTCTTGAAGAAGGCAGTATTTTAGTGCACCATTTCCCTAGCAGAAAATTATATGGGTGTAGACCCTTGTGTTACCTTAATTGGGGAGCATATTTATCATTCTTTAGCATGCTTCTTGGTGACAATCCTAAACCTTTTGTGATTTTATAGCAGAATTTTTATGCTACTATCAGATCTGGGTTACAAACATGGAGGCCAGCAGGACAACTCCCTTGCCTTAAAAATGGGAACTAAAGTGGAAATCCAATCCTCAACTATGGTTTCCCCATACCTTCAATTCTTTCCCTATAGGAAGGTTTCTCAACTTCAGCAATTTTAGGATGGACTTCTATTTCCAGAATTCCCCAGCCAGCATTCTCTGAATAGAAATCAACACATCTTAAAACTAGATGCTGATAAACACTGATCTATACAAATTTATTCAATTTATATGCCACCCATCTCTCCTGACTATAATATTAAGCTGAATGTTGTAGGAGCCATAAACTATTGGGCTAATAGATCTGGGCTTCAAAAAATCCAGATCACTTGACACAACAAATATATTGATAAAACTCTCTCTATTCTTTGCTGTCATTTATAGTCATTCTGATTTCCAAAGTCCCAAGCCTACACATATTACCCTGCTGTTTAGGCGCAGTCAATTGTTATTTGTTCTATTGACAATAATAGAACCTCTTTTTCACATGATATATGAAATCAGTCTCTGATAACATCCTCAACAAGGGGCTTTCTCAATCCTGAAAGTACTGTTCAATCCCAAGGCTGGAAACTTGTGAAGCAAGATCTCTTATGTTTTCACTAAAATGAAACAGCAAACAATGAATTGTGGATTGTTACTGCTGTTTTTGTCTAGGCTGTTACGCTTTACATTAATGATTTTAAATTGTGTATATTTGATGTTGTAAGCTGTTCAGAGTTCTTGGAGTGGGCAACTATAATAACTATAATTAAACAACAATAATGGATGTGAAGGAAAAATTAACATTGGAAGCCCTAAGGTATTTGACAAAGCAGACCACAACCTACTTCTTGGTAAGCTAGAAAAATATGGGATAGAGAGCATCACCACTAGATGGATTCGTAATTGGCTGATAAATTACATTCAATGTGTAATCCTTAATGGAACTACATCTATATGGAGGGAAGTAAGCAGTGGGGTACCCAAAAGTTTTATTTTAGACCTAGACCTCTTCAACATCTTCATAAAAGATTTAGATGAGGGAATAGGAATTTGCAGATCACATCAAACTGGCAGGAGTAGCCAACACCCCAGAAGATAGACTCAAGATGCAGAAGGATCTCGACAGTTAAACACTGGGTCCTATAATTCAATAGTGAGAAAAGTACGGTTTTATACTTAGCCAAGAAAAAACAAAGGTATGGGTATAGAATAGGTAGAATCTGGCTCAATAGCAGTAACTACAAGAGGGATCTTGGATTCCTAGTGAACAATCATTTAAATCACATGTGTCAAACTCTATCGTGTCACATCACATGTCATTTTGGGGGGCATGGACTGCATGTGACGTATCCGGCCCACCAGCTGCCAGTTTGACACCCCTGATTTAAATTGAACCAATAGCTGCAGCCACCAAAAAATCCAATGCATTCCTAGGTTGCATTAACAGAGGAATAGAATCAAGTTTATGTGAAGTGTTAGTATCCCTTTAGAAGGCCTACATAAAATGACACTTGGATTCAGTTTTGGTCAAAATATAAAAATGTTAAGAAAGTGCAGAGAGAGTAACAAAGATGATTAGTGGACCAGAGCAGTGGTTGCCAACCAGTAGGGTGGGGACCACTGATGGTCCACGAGAAAATTTTGGTGGTACGCAGAGAAATGTCACCCCCAAAGCACGCCCCAAAGCAATTAATCCAGGCTGTGTGGGAACACAAGGCTTGTGTCACTTGCATTGTAACAACATAAGATAGTGAGGGGGGGGAAGGAAAGGGCGGGGCAGGGAACTTGCCCCATGTGCCCCACACACCTGGCTTGGCCACTGGGCTGTTGCTTTCAGCTTCTTTCTTCTGATTTTGGCTGCACACAAGGAAAGCAGCAGAAGCAGCAGAAATCTTTCCTTCTCTCCCCTAAACTCTGCCAGAAATGAATCTTTGGGACCCTGCAAGGCATCCTGCTCCAAGAGGCTATGCTGGCAAACACTCATTTCTGGTGGAATTTGGGGGAGAGAAAGACTTCTGCTGCTTCTGCTGCTTTCCTTGCATGAAGTCAAAAGTCTCTCCCCCCCCCCCCCCCCCCCCTACTGAGCTGGAGATCCTGTGATCCTGGTATCCTGTGATCCCAGAATGATCGATTGGTAGGAAAATGGGGTGGGGAATTTTCCTGCAGACTTTTTGGGGGATTTTCCCAGGGTTTCTGGTCTGTGGGATTTAAAATTATGAATTTGATGGTCCCTGAGGTCCAAAAGGTTGGCAACCCCTGGACTAGAGGCTAAAACATGAAGAATGGTTGCAGGAATTGGGTATGTCTAGTCTAATGAAAAGATAGACTAGGGATGATATGATAGCGGTGTTCCAATATTTAAGGGGCTGCCGCAAGGAAGAGGAGACCAACCTATTTTCCAAAGGACCAGAAGGCAAAGCAAGAAGCAATAGTTGGAAACTAATCAAAAAGAGAAGCAACCTAAAATTAAGGAGAAATTTCCTGACAGTGACAACAATCAAGTTCTGGGTTCAGAAGTTGCGGGTGCTTCATCACTTGAAGTTTTTAAAAAGAGACTAGAGAGCAATTTGTCTGAAATAGGGTCTCCTGCCTAAGAGGGGAATGGGTAGAAGAACTCCAGGGTCCCTTTAGACCAGGGGTCTCCAACCTTGGCAACTTTAAGCCTGGAGGACTTCAATTCCCAGAATTCTTTGCTGGCTGGGGAATTTTGGGAGTTGAAGTCCTCCAGGCTTAAAGTAGCCAAGGTTGGAGACCCCTGCTTTAGACTGTGTTTAATAGCAACAAAGATGTTTTATTCCGCCGTTCCCCCTCAAGGAGAGGAAATAGCCCAGCGAACATTTCCACTGAGTTCGACCTGCCACCCGCCTCCTGTCCCGGCTGAGGAGTCTTTAAAGTTAATACTTAGGTCACGAAACACAAACAGCTCATTGGCCAACGTTGGCTCCACCCTCCTTATCTAGCAAATTTTGACAAACGTAGCAATTATGTCCCTCTCTGCCTGCCTTAGGCCGCCGGTCGCGCGTGCCCGTTGTCTCGGAGAGAGGGAGAGAAAAAATCGTTCGCGTCTCCGGGTTGGGTGACTTCCGTGACTGCATGGCGTTTATGTGCCAGCGGGACAGCTGGGTTCAGCAGGTGCGGAAGGAGGCAGGCGTGCGATGGCTCTCAGAGGCCGTGCTCGCCGCCGCTGTTCGGGGCGGATGAATAGTTTGCAGCTTTGCTCTTCCTCCGTTTGTGCTGGAAAAGGATTCTTGCCATAGTCTTTCCAATCTCCAAAACTGGAGATAAGCGGCTTTATCCAAAATTGGAAAGGCTATGCCTAATCACGCCCCCTTTGCTAGCACAAATTGAGATGAACAGTTGTAGGGTTCCTCCCATTCGATTTTTCTGTAGCCTGTAGATGCGGGATTTTAGAAATCTGCAGGGCTTATTGAGCCCAGGGCAGTCCGTGGTTCTTTTTTTTCATATTTTTGTTTCATGAATATAGAACAATGTTCCATATACAGCAGATGATTCTTAGGTGGGTCTGCTTTCTTCCTCGAGCAATTGTTGCCATTCCATGTTCTCCTTATTATAGCTTACTCTAGCAACTAACACTAGTAGGACAAGGCAAAAAGAATATATTTAATTACTTGCATAATACAATATGCTGATATAAAAATCAGTTGCTTATACATTGTACCTTAGTAGGAAAGGAAAGCCCAGGAAAGCAAAAGCGAAGAGTGACGCTTAACTGCCCTTTGCCCAAGAATAACTAGCCTATGAGCAGAGGTATGACTCAATGTAATTATAGGAAAGTGCCTCAAGAGGCCACATTTATAGTATTTGGTCTCATTTTAAGAGGTTTCTAATCTGCGAAACATTTTAGAAGGCAACCCGAAGTGAAATTGGACATATTTAAAAAGTATGATATGTAAGAAAATGGATTTATTATGGGTTATGAAGCTGGTATACATGGTACAGAATTAAAACGTAGTGCAGAAATATTAAAATAGAAGTTTGGGATAAAAATTGCATCATTTGCTGAATGTAATATTTGTAACAAAATGTATGCCGTTCTCCCCAGAAATTTACAAGAAAGAAGGCTATTGATAAAAACATACATTTTTTTTCTCATTGTTCATCACTCTTGGCTTGCACATGATACACCTCTTTAATATCAACGTTCTATGTGTTAGTTGCCTCCACCAAAACTAAGGATCTCTTCCTTTTCCTGTTAAGTTTACCACCCAGGTGGTCTCCTGCTGCCCGGCAAAATTATCTACAGAAATTAATAAAAAGAACATTTTGCAAGGTTACCATGTCATCTTGGAAGACACTATTCTTTTCCCAGAGGGTGGAGGGCAGGTAATAATTTCAAAATATTTTAGAGTTGTAAATTATTGTATATTTCTTAATGTGTTGCTTGATATTAAATCCAATTTTATGTTTTTAAAACCAAAACTTTAATTGGTCAATATATTTGTTAGGAATACATGATTTTTTTTTACTTTTTAAATATGTTTATTGTATTTAGAAATTTAATGTGATATTTCAAGAATAAGTTCCATATAAAACAATTTTAACATAAAAAGATAGACTTGGATTGCATAAGATGTATTACATAAGGTAGTTTGAAAATTCTGGAATGACTAATTCTTCCTAAAAACTTTTGGTGTGAGATTCATAATAATTGAAACTTTTACTTGGAACTAATTAATAATATAAAAATGATTGAGCAATGCCTTTATTTGTGCAGTCATTCATTGTTGCTCTTGCATTAATAACATTTATTTTGGGATATTTATGAAAAAGATAGCATTTATTACGATTGTTACTTTTTTCCCAGAACCTTCCCACAAATTTGTGAATTAAGTTTATCTCTTTTATACATTTTGTTGAGGGTGTGTTTTTTTCTCAGAAGCTGAGAAAAATTGTAACTTTAAATTTTTTCATTCCAGCCTGATGACCGGGGATTTATTAATGATATCCCTGTTCTCAGAGTCACCCGACAAGGTCCAGATGCTTTACACTTTATCCAGACACCACTTGAGCCAGGAACTAAGGTACAACTGGTGCTAGACTGGGACCGACGGTTTGACCATATGCAGCAGCATTCAGGTGAAGAATTGATGCATGTGATGTCCATCAGTTTTGGTGATTCAATACAGAATATTTATAGAAACCCAATAGAAAGTGTTTAAATAGCTGATAAATAATTATCTGTTTCAGGACAACATCTCATCACAGCACTTGCAGATCTGATGTTTGGATACAAGACAACATCATGGTAAGCAGGATGCAACTTTGCTCCTGTCTTTCTTGCTTGTGGATTCTAAAACTACAGCAGAGGTAAATTGCAAAATCTGTAGAAATGTAACTCAGGTAATGCTGACAGACTTAAAACCTGAAGGATTGTTATTAACAAAATCATTTGTAAAAAGAACAGATAACCATATGGTTTATTAGAAAATAAATATCAACAATTGGCAATATTTTATTTTAGGACAAATAAAAAATGCACAAATGTATGTATGTGCTTTTGAGTTATTGGAATTCTTGTTCAGGGTAAATGATCCAGAAATCAGGGAAAGGAGAAGTATTTATGGTTGCAGGCATGAGGATTGCATCTTAGAGTAAATCTTAAGATAAAGATTATAGAGTTGAATATATTAATATATAACTCAGGCATTGTTTTACCATAAGCATTCTGGGACATAAAGTTATGGTGGGGTTTGTAGTTTACCAAAAATCACCTGCCTCTTTTACCTTTCTTTGATGAAATGACTGACAGAGCACATTCTGAAGCTATAGAATGTAAGGTTCTATTACCTGAAAGTAAGTTTTGAAGTTTTGAAGATTTTATTCAATCCAAATAGGTAATTTGGATTCAGAAGACTTTTCCCTCAATATGTAAATTGATGCATTCAGTCTGCCATGTCTGTCTTCAGACCGATTATAAATTGGAGATCTCATAGACATAGCTTTTGGCTTGCTTTTTTAGATTTTTTCCCTGGTTTTTGTACATGTAACCTGCCGAGGAATTTTGTAAAAATTACATACTTGCATATGATGTTACTTTAGCTACTTCTAGTTAATGAACTATATTTTCTTTTTTTTAAATTACACACAGAACAAAAAACAAATGTCCCTCTCCACCTCCCCTCAGCTACAAAAATATACTTTCAATGTTTCTTGAAGCCATAGGGAAGAACATAATATCATTTTCTGCCTTAAAAACGCAAGTAGTTTTTAAAGAAAATGTCTTATGGAACAGCATCCTGCAGCCCACAAATACTGGTATTTGTACAATTCCTTTTGCCAATGAGCCTTAAAAAACTAGCTGTTTTCCTGGGCCTTGGGTCAATGTATCTTTGGACCTTTTAAAATCATTCGTGAATGTTTTTGGTTTTGTTCCTTTCAGGCTACTGTTCATTTAATTTATATTATTTTTATCTTTTTTATTGAGAAGCTTCAGAGAGTTGTTCTGGAGTTGGAAAACCTAGAAATTCCATGAATGAATGAATGAACAAATGAATGAACAAATGAAGGTTGATATAGAATGTTAAACTAGTGAATGAGATTAAAGACTGATTTCGGTATTTGCACAAGGATTAATAAACTAAGTCTCAGATAAACATGCATAATAATGCTGCCTCCATTTCATTCCACCCTAATTCTTAATCAAAAGAAGATCATGGATAGCCAAGAAGAGACTTTGTGGATATATGTTTTCTCCCTAACAAATGAGGAGAATATATCATAATTGCCTTTTCTGCCCATTGCAGGGAGCTGGGTCGTCAGCGAAGCACTATTGAAATAGACACCTTGTCAATGACAGTAGATCAGGTGACAGCCCTTGAGCAGAGTGTGAATGAAAAAATTCGAGCTCGGGTCCCTGTGATGGTACGAGAGTTTGCTGTGGGTGATCCTGAAGTTGAGATGGTAAGTTTGGGCTGAAGTCGTGGAAAAGGAAACTACTTTGTATTCTTCTCTAACCAGATACTGTGCTACAGGTAAGGAGCCGTGGCTTGCCAGATGACCATACTGGGCCAGTTCGGATAATAAGCATTGAAGGTATTGATGCCAATATGTGTTGTGGAACACATGTCTCCAATCTAAGTGACCTGCAGGTGAGCCCCCACGTGCAAAGCTTTATAAATTGAATTTCTTCAGATGTGCATGTCAGGCTGTCCTGCAGAACAAAATAGCCTCTTTGTGCTTGTAAAATCCTTTACTCTGACTCAATGTTTGTTTGTTCGAAAGGTCATTAAGCTCTTGGGTACAGAAAAGGGAAAAAAGAACAAAACCAACTTAATTTTTCTTGCTGGCAATCGGGTGCTGAAAAGTCTGGATCGGAGCCATTCCATTGAAAAGGCCATGACATCACTGCTTAAGCAAGTATTCCATTTTCTGTATATCACAAATGGGCACCTTTATACATAGTCACAAAGAAACTATTTCAGACTTACTGGCCTGAGAAGTTCACTTAAGCAGTAGAAGGAAAAACAGTTGAACTTTGTGATTTTTTTTAAATCCAGAAATCAAGGACGCACAGGTGAATTATTTACTTAAGAGGAACAGCTACTTTATTTAAAGATATTTAAAGTTTCATGATAAGTAATGTAAGCCTCTAAACAATTGTTCCTGGAAAAAAATGGTTGCCAAATTATGCAGCAACTCCTATTACAATCAGTTTTGCATCCCATATTAACACAAGTTGCTCTTTTCACATTTCTCTTCAAAGTTTTCTCTCAATAAGACACTATACACACAGTTGAGATTCAGCCGGTTTGGGCCAGTTCGGGTGAACCGGATGTTAATTTTACATCCAATTTGGCGAACTGGTAGTTCGAAAGACCAGCTGCCCCCCCCCCCCCCGCCCTTCCCAGGAGTCCCCCCCCCATGCCCTGTTTTGGCTCTCAGGAGGTCCTAGGCCAAACCCCCCGCGCCCCATTTTGGGCCTAGAAGGCCTCCCTGCAGCCTCCTGAGAGCAAAAATGGGGTGCAGGAGTGCAGCACCCCCCATGCCCCATTTTTGCTCCCAGGAGGCTGCAGGGAGGCTTATTAGGCCCAAAACAGTGTAGAGGGGCATGAAGAAAGAAAGAAAGAAAGAAAGAAAGAAAGAAAGAAAGAGAGAGAGAGAGAGAGAGGGAGGGAGGGAGGGAGGGAGGGAGGGAGGGATGAGAGAAAGGAAAAAGAAAGAAAAAGAAAGAAGGAAAGAAAGAGGGAGGGTGGGAAGGGAGAAAGAAAGGGAATGAAAGGAGAAAAAGAGAAAGAAAAAGAAAGAAAAGAGGGAGGGTGGGAAGGGAGCAAAAGAAGGAAAGGAGAAAGAAAGGGAATGAAAGGAGAAAAAGAGAAAGAAGAAGAAAGAAAGAAAAGAGGGAGGGTGGGAAGGGAGCAAAAGAAGGAAAGGAGAAAGAAAGGGAGGGGGGAGAAAGAGGAAGGGAGAGAAGGGAGAAAGGAGGGAAGGGAGAAAGAAAAAGAAAGAGAGAGGGAAGGGAGAAAGAGGGAAAGGAAAGTGAATGAGATATGGATGGATGATGGATGGATGGATAGAGGGAGGGGAGAGAGAAAGGGAAGGAAGGAAGGAAGGACCACAAACCCTGGTACTAGACACAGCTTCAGAGGATGCTTTGAAACCACACAGCAATCCAGGGCTGGAAGGGACATCGGAGGTCATCTGGTCCAACCCTCTGCTCCAAGAGCATTGTTAAAGTGAGTTTCTCTCTTTTGACCCACCTGCGCCCACCACATGACCAAGCCGCGCCCACCAAGCCATGACCATAGAACCAGTTGTTAAAAAATATGAATCCCACCCCTGACTATACAGTCTTTCCTGAATCCTGTGGTTGCCCTTGTATTTTAGGAATGGTCCCGAAGAACATGTAGAAGCTGTGAAAAGACTGCAGAGCTCTCTGAAGCTGCTTCAGAAGGTAGGTTTATGTCATGGAAAGTTCATTTTCTGTCATGGAAAGTTTCAAGCCTGGCTTTACAGTAACCACAGCAAGATACACCATCAACTTTATGTTAGAATAAGATATTGGAAAGCAATTTTAGAGAGGAGCATGTTTAGGAATGGAATATGGAAATCAGGTTTGAGGAAGATGGGTTGGTTTGGAATGATAGTGACTATGACTGCAGTTTTCAGGGTTCACCTGGAAGGATGTCATCTAGCCTCCAGAAGGATCAGATTGAGAACCAGTTGCAGGCAGATTAGTCCTACTTGCCTTTCAGGACTATCCAAGGTCTGGTCTCCCAGCACAAAACTACCTGTGATTACAATCCAGATGGGTAGAGGACAGTTTGATCATGGAGAAACTCAGTAACGTTTATTGCATCCTTGTCCTTTTTTTTTTTACCTTGCTACGAATTTCCCTGCCCAGTCATTTCCTTAGTCAGTTAATCTTTGCTGAATGTAGCAATTGATTGGATGTAACACATCCACAATGTACTTCTTTTTTCAGAATAATGTGAATTTGCTAAGAGATTTAGCTGTTCTTACAGCGCAGAACTTCAAAAACACCACGGTTGAACAGCCAGTATTTGTCTTACACAGGTGAGGGAAAAGACTCCATATGTTTAAGCTTGGCTAATTTGGCAGATCACCATGAGAAAATCTATTTATATGTTTGCTAGAGTCAACACTGGTCTGACAATATCAGTATGGTGGAACCAACAAATGTCTTAGATAAGAGGAAATTCAAGATAATTGAAGTCGCCCTCATCTCCCATACACCCACAAACATAAAATGATATATAATTTTATCCACAAGAACGTTTTAGTGTCATGAGAACTCTGTTAATAATAAATCCTTTGAAGCTCCATCAAGCAAAAGTGTATTTATATTTTAAATTTCCAAAAAGCTGAAGTTAATACAAATTAAATTATCAAACCAATACGGGCATTGATGGTTTTGCTCTTTGTGTGTCTGATAGACCTGCTACAGAGAATGGTAAGAGAGTGCAAGTTTGGACTTATTTCTTACAAAGTTTTAAAAATAGGAAAGAATTTTTCTATTCTTCTTAGGGGATCATGGAATATCTTTCTCCTCTCTACAGGAAAGATGGTGACTCTGAGTTCATGAATATACTTGCAAATGAAATTGGCTCTGGGGTGAGTCTTTTCTCTAATTTTTAAAATAGGAAATCTTCAACAAATATTTATTTATGGAAGATTTCCTGTTTTAAATTTAAAGGGAGTTCCTATTTCTGATACAGATAGATATTAAGAACCATTTTTCAAAGACCATTCGAAATATAACAGCAGTGAACAAGGAGATTAATGACTGTTCCTGATAATGTGTGGCTGTTGCGATCTTCCCATTGTCAGGTAATCACAATTCAGGAATTTCACAACCAGCTCACAATGATGAGAGTTGTAGTGTGCTGGGTCATGTTCTCACCATCTGCGACCTTCACAGCTGGCTTCCAACAAAAAATCAATGGGAATGATGGCAGGTGGTTATAAATTAAAACCATGTAACTGTGGGACAGTGTAACAGCATGGGGATCCGTCTAACAATCACAACTGGAACTGCTGCAACTGCTATTATAAGTCTATACATGGTCATATTTCATGACCATGTCTCTTAGTGATGGAGCTGACAATCCTAGTTATGGTAGTTCTTGACTTAACAGCCATTATTTAATAATGGTTGAAAGAAAAAATGACCTCAGGAAAAGTGATTTACAACCTGTTCTTGCACTTATGACTGTCACATCACACACACACACACACACACACACACACACACGAGATAACAATTTGGGTGCTTGGCAACTAATATGCATTTATGACCAGCTGCAGTCCTTTTTTATTATGTTTTTGATGTTAGGTGTCCATTTTAGGTCTTGAGATATGATAGAACCTAGAAACTTGAAGGTCCCTACTGTTGCTACTGTGTTGTCTAGTATTATAAGAGGTGGTAGTATAGGAGGGTTTCTCCTAAAACCTACCACCATTTCTACGATTTTGAGTATATTTAGTTCAAGATTGTTCCAATCGCACCACACGGCTAGTTGTTCAACCACCCGTCTGTATGCAGATTCGTTGTTGTTTCGAATGAGACCAATCACTGTTGTATTATCTGCAAACTTCAGTACTTTAGCAGAGGGATCTTTTGAGATGCAGTCATTGGCATATAGGGAGAAGTGGAAAAAGCACCCAGACTTGGGGGCCCCCCTGTGCTAATTGTACAGATATCATGTGGTTCCGCCTAGCTTCACCTGCTGCTTCCTGTCTGTTAGGAAGTTTATGATCCACTTATAAGTGTGGTCAGGGATTTAGTTTAGTTAGGAGAATACCTGGAATGATAGGGCCTGCTAATGAATTTGACTTACCATCAGAAGCAAAATCCTGATTTAAATATTTTTTATGCAGTGGCACCCTTGAGCAATGATTGAATAGTACTTGTAAAAAAATTGTTTAGTAGCATTAGATCTGACACACTATCCTTTCAACAGGAAACTCTTCTTTTCTTATCTGTGGGAGATGAAAAAGCAGCTGGGCTTTTTTTGCTGGCAGGACCTTCAGAAGCAGTGGAGAAACTGGGCCCCAGGTGAGTTATTCAAAACAGTTGAAGTACAATCAACCTATTAATTTGGTGTCCATGAGAGTGGAGCTCTGGTCTGTTGTTTTGTCAGTTGCTCAAGTGATGAGTAAGGGGAATCCAGTCTAAGTGAACTTATTGATTGGCCTCTTGTTCTTCCCACAAGAGTTGCTGAACTACTGGAAGGAAAAGGAGCAGGGAAACAGGGGCGCTATCAGGGCAAAGCTACAAGGATGAGCCGACGATCAGAAGTGGAGGCCCTTCTTCAGGAATTCGCCAGGAAATAGAACTCAGAACAATGACTGGGTATCCGGACAATAGTGCAATTAGGGAAGAAGCAAAGTTTCAGCCATAATTGTTCCTCAAGGACTATTAGATAATACAATAATTTGTGTTTCTGTTTTTTGAGTGTGCCAGTATCACCAGAAGAAAATTATCAGTGGTCTAATGCTGCGAAGAGGAATATTACTAGATATGAAAGAGATAAAATATGTAAGAGAGGTGTGGTATGTAAAACAAGCATGTCTGGAACCTTTATTATATGTCTGTAGAAAGAAACTTCACCATAAACCAAGCAGTTTTGGGGTATAGAGAAGAACTGCATTTTTCAGGGATGTGTTATGATAAATTTTCCATAAAATTTGTGATGCTTCAATATCACAAATTAAACATTACAGGTGTTTGCTGATATATTTGTTTCTAATAGTGTATGTTGTCTTCCCCAAATTGTCTTCTGCTGAACCATTTGTAAAGGAGTTTAACAGGCATAATTCTTTGCTCAGTCTTGGCTAATTTGGCCTCCTCTGAATATATGAGGACTGCTGTGCTTAGAATTCTCAGCAATTGTCCAGTTAGCTGGACATTTTAGAAGTTGTATTCCTAACACATCTGGAGAGCACCAAATTGGTAAGATCATTTTAAGTCAGTTATATCTTAGGATCATCATCTAGCACCTAACAATCTGGGTCCTCATTTTATCGACTTTGGAAGGATGGAAGGCTGAATCAGTTTTGAGCCCATTGGGATCGAACTCCTGGCAGTAAGCAGAATTAGTCTGCAATACTGCATTCTAACCACTGCACCAGCAGGCAGCATGATATTAATGAGAGGGAGGTGAATAAGTTTTCTTCTTACATAACAACCTGTAACTGTTCATTTGCTTATGTACAAGCTATTTAGTACAAAACTTTGTTCAAGAAGTACCATGATATGATTCTGAATCATTTTCTGAAAATCAGGCATAGAAATGTGAGTCTAAGAAAGTGCCTGGATTGTTTAGGTGTTAAAAAAATGATATATAAATTTAACCCTGCATCAGTCTGATGATTTATGGTTCTGCTTTGGTTCTACCAAACATATGATTACAAGTGGAAGAAAAAGCCTCCATTATGTCATCAGAATGTACAGTAACTTGATTAGAACATAGAATAACAGGGTTGGAAGGGACCTTGGAGGTCTTCTAGTCCAACCCCCTGCTCAAGCAGGAGACCCTATACCATTTCAGACAAAGGGCTGTCCGTTCTTTTTAAAAACCTCCAGTGATGGAGCACCCACAGCTTCCACAAGAAAGCTTTTCTAGTGTTTATTGCTCTCACTGTTAGGAAATTTCTCAGTTCTAGGTTGCTTCTCTCGTTGATTATCCATTGTTCTTGTCTAAGATTAAATATGGTCCAAAGTGATAAGAAAATGGTAAAGAGCAAGATTTGTGCCTGGCGTTGGTTGGAGATAAATGCACAAACATTCACATGAAAAGAGGGGGGAAAATCTATGATAAACAAGGAACCAGGCGGGCAGGGGAAGCAGACAATGCAAATACAGCAAATTATTCTTCCAGGCTACTATTAAAAGTCTGATTGTAACTGTTTCTGGTTTGTTTGCAAACTAGTAGATAAGTTAGTCATCTTCTGTTCTGTTTGGAATTCCTCAAAAGCTTTTCTAAGAGACATCCCAAATACCACTCCACTTTCTTTTCTGGATTAAATATATTTATGCTTTTCTTCCCTGTTCATCCAGTCAGGATATCAAATTATTTCTGTCTGAAGGCAGCTATATTCATTCAGTGCATGGAAGGGATTAAGTCTCTGTTGGATCATTCACAAAACAGACAACAACATATTTTAGTTTATAAACCTTTAATCTTCAGAGCTGAAGATACATGTCCAAAGTAGCTCTACAGCAGGATATATTTGCTCCTTATAAATCTTTCTTGTCTGTCTGCTGAAGGAGGCAGAAAATGCTATAGGGGATCAGGGCCACGGCACAGATATGGGCACAAGTGCACTTACAGAATGAGAGAATGTAAAAGAGGATCTCCTGATCAGTGGGTATTTCAAAGGAATCAAACAGGTGCAGGATTAACAGTGAAAAAATGATGCAACTGAAGTGGAAGATCAGCCCTTGGCTTGGCTTCCCTCTGGACATTTCTGCATACATTGGGGAGTTGAGTCCAAATCCCAGACCAAACAAAATGCCCAGATTGCGTAACAGACTGGCAAAAGGGGTTGTGTCAATATGGACCCATTCAGGCCGTTCACACCACTTGTGGGCCTTCTCAATTGTCCATAAGAGATCTACACCCAGCATCTTCAGCAACAGGTAGAAGCTTAGGGCAAAACCAAAGAGGAAGCCAATAGTTCCAACGTATCGCGTGAAGGTGGCAGTGTAGATGGAATGGACTTGTTCAAAAATCATAGCCACTAGTAATCCTGTGGAATAAGTCAATTATTGAGTTGGCGTTCTCTGATATTTACATGTAGAGTTTTATTCTTTTATTTATTCAAGACTAGGAATAGCTTACCTGAAATAACACCAGCAATCACTTGATGTGGGAAGTGTGCAGCAATGAACACTCGGGACAAGCAGACACAGACTTGTATAGCCCAGAATCCTGCCCAAAAAAGACCATGGAGCCACCTGGAATGGGGAAGATCAGGGCAAAAGCAGGAGTTCTTAATTGCACCAAAGAGAGACATCTTAGGCTAAAGGCCAGTCTGTCCTTTGAATATTGTGCCAGAGCAAGAAATGCAATTTCATTTAGCTAATTCTAGAATGAATTAGTTAAATGAAGATAGTCCTCACTTACCAACCGCTTCACATGGTGACTGTTCAATGTTATACTGAAAACATAACATTACCACCAGTGTCTGCATTTATGACCTTCACGGTATCTTTCAGTCATGCGATTATCATTGGAATCAGTATGCGTTGCCCTGTGCTGATCTGCTGGTGTTTTCCCCCTTCACTTTCAGCACTGAGAGATTGGACAGGAAGGGATTACAAGAAAATAAGCAGGCACATACTGCTTACACTCTTGTAATCCCTTCTCTAATCTCTGTGCTTTGAAAGGGGGTCGGAAACAATATCTGCAGGCAATTTCTGCTGTCCTGTTTTTTGAGACTTCGTATGGTGTACCAGGGTGCCACAGGGTACAGTGTTATTTTAAAAGAGTCAAGATAGTAGACACGATAATGAAATCAAAATTATGTCTGTTTGTATATGTTCTGCACATGTGTATACATACAAACCTGGCAGAACTTTATGCATTCCACTGTTGCTCTTATCCTGTTTTTTTTTTTTTTACTATCCTATGTGTTTGTGTATCTATGATAAACTGACAAGATGCCTGCTGTGCCTACACTTAAGGATTAAATAAATTTATCTAATCAGTTTGGCAGTCAAAAATACATTTTGCTATCTCCTTTTGAATGGCATCTCCTCACAAATGGATGATTCCCTGAAACAATCAGTCAATCAGATGTTTTCATAGTTATGTTTCAATGCCCATATTTGTCAAATGTTTCCAAAGGTTCCCAAAACCAACTGAACAAAAACAGAAAGACTGACACTGACCCTGAAACTCCACAAAATGAACAACTGTGGCAAGAAAGATCATAAATGGGGGGAAATTCACTTAACACATATCTCACTGAGCAATATAAATTTTGGACTCAGTTGTGGATATAAGGACTACCTGTATAATGCTTCAATGTTGAATCTCAATCTTGATTTCATGAAAATTAGCTCTGCTGATTTAGAAGTCAACTTTGAAACTGCCGTGTAAGAACACAGTTTATTTCATGTTGCATATCGATAATACTCCTTAATGTCTTAATTGTGGCAGCCATTATCGCAAACAAATGAAAAACAACCATCTGAAAATGAGACAGTGAGTTGGGACAATGTTTAGGTATGGTTTTTCTTCCGTAGTCTTATATCAATATCCTCTCCTTAGAGGGGAATGGGGAGCTATACCCTTGTTTACAGGACAGGACAGCAAAAGAGGAGCTGTCTCAGTTATGTCCACGTCTAAACATAAAGTTTCAGCTCCCATCTGCACAGCGGGCATGCAGACCTTACCTGCCTCTCAAGGTGTTTCGCTTCTGTGGCAGTAGTTGTGAAAGCAGTGCTGTCACCATGACATAGTAGACCCCAGAAGACCCCATGGCGTGACCAGAAGGACTACCTGAAGATGCATACAAAGGAATCAGTGAAAGGAAGGCTGCAGCTGCAATGGATTAAGGAAGGTACTGGGAAAGTAGGGGGTTCAACACTTGCAACCTCACCTGGGCCAGTTTCACAGGTAATGGGAAACTGGCGGATTACTGGGGGTGTTACATTGCCATAGAAATCTGTCTCATGTACCCACCAGTAGGGCCTTTCTCCAAAGAGGATCCTAAAAGGAAGGAAAAATAAAAGTAATCCTGATCCCTGTAAAGGACAAAGCCATAGCAGGCATAAGATATCAAATAGGCACTTCACAATTCTGTGAATACCAGAGAAAATTTAAATTTCTGTAAATTAAAAAAAAAAAGTTTCAAGTTTCTAAGTTCAGATTTGCCTGCAAAGCAGGAGTACTAGAATTAAAAGCCTTTCAAATAAGGATAGGGATAGATATTTCCTAGCACTGATAATTATGAAAATTATAAGCCAAAAGTATTTATTACTCTGGCTGCTATTTTCTGAATTTTAATTTTAATTTTAATTTTTGCAAGTTCTTTGAGGATTGTTCTAGTAGAAAATTAACCTTACAATTTTAAAATAAAATTTCAATAGTCTTATTGTTTTTCTTCATTCAGCAAAATCTATCTAATTTTTTCAACAAAATGAAGAATGCATGTTGTAATGTACAGGTTAGAGTACTTGTCAGTTTGACTTCTTTCATAAAGAAAATCAAATTCTAGTAGTTGTGAATTAACAAAATTGTAAGATTTAAAAATGCCAATGGCTTTTTTGGAAGATACAATATTACATTTACCTATTCAGAAAGCAAGATGCCTTATATATAGTAAAATTGATTTCCAATTAAATTAGATTGGAGCCTGAGAGCACATTCTGGACATTTAGTATACCATGGTATCTATTTAAAAAGCTGCTTAAATTCAGTATAAATTATTCCCAAATAAATGTATATAAAATTGCAATTGTAGCCTCTTTCATAATATGGAGACAAAATTTCCTTATGATACCCAAATCCCAGTTTGTGATAGAGAATAAAAAAATCCATGGAACAAATGGAGGCACAGACTATTTGAGCAGAACTGGTTAAGGGGGTGGGGGAAAGAGAAGAGAATAATGGCAGTCTTCAAGCCTGCTCCCTTTTTCTTAGGTGTCCTAAATTAAACTCTCCGAGAGGGTCTATATGAAATATAACTTGGAAATGATAAATGCTTATTTGGAGGAAAACCTAGCG